AGCTAGGTTCCCTTGTTAATGTAAAATTACTTTGAGAGAGGAACCAGCATAAGGGCGTTGCCCCGGAGTGGGAGGGAGGCGCCCGCGCCATAATAATAACAAAACAAGGGAGCAGCCGACCACGCTGTCTTGGCTAACTGGTGTAAACAGCTAGACACCCCATTTACGTGTCAACACCAGCTACACAGCCTATCAACATCACAACAACGACTGTATCCGTCTACCAAGTATTGTATATTATTCTAGTGCACTGTTTAATATTGATGGGTAGATGGTTAGGTCGTGGGAGAACCCCAAAACACAACGTACGTGTACTCCATTACAACCCTCACAGTTCATGTCATACCTGTAATTGATATGTTTAGGGAACTTTGATTAATTCCTTGCATCCCATACAGGTAAATTGTGAGGAGCATCAAGAACTAGAGAAGACAGTTGGTTCATACACATTAATATTGCTTGCCAGGCATTGTTCTCCCCACAAGCCGCCATTTCGTGGCACCAGGAGGCACAGGGCCACACCCAATCTGAGGCTACACTTACACGCCTTACCGGGCCCATTCTACTGGCACAGCTAAGCCATTAATGATTTTAGTAGTAGTAGTTACAATTAATTATATTAGTAGATTAGACCACCATATGTGGTATACTGAAATATTACAGATTAAAAGGTAAACAATTGGTAGTTTAAGAAGGAGCCTTAACAAAGTGGTTTAGGCTACCATTTGTCCCTCCCAATAGTGTGTAAGAAGATTTCAGGCAGTTTACAAGTATATACAGTCCACTTAATTAATTCTTACTTACTAAGAAAAATAAATAAGACATAACTTTATTTTATTAAAGTCAATTTGAAAAAGAGAGATTAGCTGCCTGGAATTTCCCCACAGAAGAAGAGGTCATTAACGCTTAGAGGTGTGAGTTTCAGGCCGACAAACTGGAGCCTCTCAGATCCTTGTCTCTGACTCATGTATCTCTATGTATGTATTAAATAAAACTAAACCAAACACCTTACGGTGTTACACGGCAAGGCAGATGTTTTCTCTGTTTAGCTGTTGGTGGCGCCAGGTATAAATGTGACACGGGTCAAATGTGGCCCAATTTGTTGGTCGACTAGAGATATTTAGCCAGTGCTTTGACTATCTGGTATTTTTCCTGTAACGATAGGTCACCTCCTAATATATATGCTCGATGGTAAAGGGTATTTTAAGTGAGATAAGTACTTGTTTGAAATTTACTGTGGCACTATGATGTCAGAAGCAGTGAAGAAGATAGTGTTCGATTGTTTCTGGCACCTGATAGTGGATGCAGAGTTCGTTGATGTCTGTTCTGTACTTAGAGCTGTGTGCTGCTCGTTTGGTGTGTCCCAGCCTTAATCTGATCATCGCTATATCAATTTCTCTGCTTTTATATCTGACATGTTTCCAAGTTTCCCATTTCTTTTTAATGGACCCATAGTACAAGGGTGAGCATGACGTTTTCCATTTCGTCGCAAAATCTTGAGTGATGGTATTTTTGAAAGCTCCTTTACGTGCAACATGGGGAATTGGATGACGGGTAATGTGAGGTGTGTTGTGCATTGCTTTGGCTAGTTGATCTACTAGTTCATTATGGAGAATACCACAATGCGCTGGGACCCATTGGATAGAGGTATCATAACCGTTCAATCGATGTTCATGAAGAAGTTGAAGACATGGGTAAACAAACTCCTTGCACGTTGTTGAAGAGTACGTAATTGCTTGAATTGCACTCTTGGAGTCACTGCAGATTGTAAATGTCCCAATTGGTAATGTTGTGATTATTTGGAGAGATTGATATAAGGCATATAATTCAGCTGTGAAAACAGATAGTTGGCTTGGTAACTGCCATCCCTGGTTGAGATGGTATTCCGGTATCCATACAGCGATAGTGACCGAGGGTACGTTGTTCATGATGATGCGAGATCGATCTGTATAAATCGCTGTGGTATTTGGGTAACAATTTGTCATTGTTGAGACAAGGCTATGGCTGAGTTTGGTGCAGACTTTGGAATGTTGTCTTCGAGTTGTATTGATGTATTAGGAGTTGTATAAAGCCTACGTGGAATAAGGGGAACAGTAAGTTGGGTTTCCGAGTTTTGAAGTAGAGAGAAGTCTATATTGACGTTATTTGTAGCCCGTGTGAGGAAAGGTTGCGAGTGATTGGTTGGAAAGCGGGGGCTATGTGGGTTAACTGTTGGGTTAATTTTTTATCTGTATGGATGTGTCTGGTGAGCAGTGGTACAGAGTGACAGATAGTTGGCACACATTATGTCTCGTCTGGTGGCTAAGCTTGTGAAACCATACCATAAAAAAAGCTTCAGTATGTTTATGAATGGAATTCTGGACTGCGAGGCCGTGGAGGACGCTCAATAAAAAGCATGTCCATGGTATGTGGGTGGAACTCCGGACTGAGAGGCCATGGAGGACGCTCCCACATAGTAGTAGTAGGCATCGTTCAGTCTCGGGAGACTATGGAGTTGCGCCCTAGTTTTCACTCCTGGTGCAGCGTCTGGTGTGACTGATAAGGCCAATCCGAGAGTGGCAGTCCATCCCACACTGAGTACAAACGAAGTCCGATTCTGGTCTGTCTTCCTGGCTACCGGCTTTCCTTCTCTGTCTCTTTGCCTCCGATACCTTGGCAAGTGACTCCTCGAACTTGGAGAGACCTCTTTGAACAGACTGCCACCAGGCTGAATGGTCTGCAGCCAGTGTCTCCCATATAGCAAGATCGACGTCCATGGCTTTCAGGTCCCTCTTGCATACGTCTTTGTACCGTAGCTGGGGCTTGCCTGTTGGACGCTTTCCCTGCCTCAGCTCTCCGTACAGGAGATCCTTGGAGATACTGCCGTCGCGCATTCGTACAACGTGCCCAAACCAGCGCATCCGTCTCTGTTTCAGCATTGTGTACATGCTGGTGATTCATGCTCTCCCCAAGACGTTGTTTTTTGTCACCTTGTCCTACCAGGTGATGTCCAAGATGTGTCGAAGGCAGCGCATGTGGTAGGCATTCAGCTGTCTTTCCTGACGGGCGCGGAGTGTCCAAGACTCACTGCCATAAAGGAGAGTGCTCAGGACACAGGCTCTGTAAACCTGAATCTTAGTATACTCAGTTAGCCTATTGTTGGCCCACACACTCTTTGTCAGTCTGGACATGGTAGTAGATGCCTTACCGATGCGTTTGTTTAGCTCCGTATCAAGAGAGAGGGAGTCAGAGATTGTGGAGCCCAGGTACATGAAGTCGTGAACGACTTCCAGTTTGGAATCGGAGATGCTGATGTCAGGTGGGGAGTCCACTCCTTGTCCCATGACTTGTGTTTTCTTCAGACTGATGGTGAGTCCGAAAGCCTGAGAGGCCTCGCTAAAGCGGGTTATGAGCCGTTGGAGGTCTTCGGCTGAGTGGGCAGTGACTGCTGCGTCGTCGGCAAAAAGGAAGTCGCGCAGACACCTCAGCCGAACCTTCGTCTTGGCTCTCAGCCTGGCGAGGTTAAAGAGCTTTCCATCCGACCTGGTCCAGAGGTAAATGCCTTCCGTGACAGATCCGAAGGCGTGCCGCAGCATAGCTGCAAAGAAAATCCCGAATAGGGTTGGAGCCAGTACGCAGCCCTGCTTTACTCCACTTCGGATGTCAAAGGCGTCTGATGTTAGGCCATCAAAGACCATGGTACCCCTCATGTTCTCATGGAAAGATCTGATGATGCTGAGGAGCCTGGGTGGGCATCCGATCTTGGGGAGGATCTTGAACAGGCCATCCCTGCTGACGAGGTCGAAGGCCTTCGTCAGATCTATAAAGGCTACGAAGAGTGGCTGCTTCTGTTCCCTGCATTTCTCCTGCAGTTGTCTGAGGGAAAAGACCATGTCGATGGTGGACCTGTCAGCTGTGAATCCGCATTGTGATTCTGCATAGACTCTCTCTGCAAGTACTTGGAGCCTCTTCAATGCGACTCGAGCAAACAGCTTTCCGACAATACTGAGGAGGGAGATTCCACGGTAGTTGTTGCAGTCGCCCCTGTCACCTTTATTCTTATACAGTGTGACGATGTTGGCATCCCTCATGTCCTGTGTCACCTCTCCTTCTTCCCAGCAGAGGCAGAGAATTTCATGCAGCTCCATGAGCAGGCTACCTCTGCAGCACTTCAAGGTCTCAGCACAAGCACAAGGTGCACCTACACCAGTAGAAGGTTTAGATGCTCGCTTGGACAACGACAAGGAGTGGACATCTATCAAACGACGCTCCCACAACTGGGTTCATTAATAAACAAATCTACAAGGGCCGTGACGAGGGTTCGAACCTACGTCCTACGTACTACATGGCACTTACTTTCAACCAAACGATCGCAGAAAAAAAATCTTTTCAATACACTCCCTTGCTATCACACGCAAATACGATGAGTTCCCGGATTCTGCTCGTTCCCACGGACTCCCATCGTCGTTGGTGGATACTGGAGATGTACTAGGAGCTACCACCAGTGATGCCTTTACTCAGCTGGCCGACTGAGCAAAGATTACGTCTAACACAAGCGATGGCGGGATGCAGAATGGCTACCATGCGGCTAGGCGGCAAGGAGTGCGGGCTTAACAGTCCTCAAATTAACCAATCACAGAAAGGCATCCTTGGGCCTATCCCTCTGGGCCAATCACAGCCTAGCTTTCTTGGCCCTCAAGGAGGCCTCCAAGATGGTCGCCTGCGTTGCTATGGTGACGGAGCGGGTGACAGTTGACTACCCACCTCACGCCACTCCCCGCTCACTCTCCTCTCTCCTCCACTTTTCACAATAAAAGCTGCTACTCGCTCTAACTGTTTCCACAAATGCGCTACAACAACCATTGAAACATATTTGGAATGCTGATAACCTAGGTTCTCTAGCGAGCCTATACACATGATGTTTCGGGTACGGGCTACCAAATCTAGTCCGAGTGCACGGCTATCCACGTGCTCCAATGCACGGCAAGCGTCACGTGCACGTACACCAGTGGAAGGTTTAGATGGTGCCAACCCATTCCCTCATATCTATTAATGGTTCAAGTGTAGCAGACACATCTACTAATGGTCCATGTGTGGCAGACACATCTACTAATGGTCCAAGTGTAGCAGACACATCTACTAATGGTCCAAGTGTAGCAGACACATCTACTAATGGTCCATGTGTGGCAGACACATCTACTAATGGTCCAAGTGTAGCAGACACATCTACTAATGGTCCAAGTGTAGCAGACACATCTACTAATGGTCCATGTGTGGCAGACACATCTACTAATGGTCCATGTGTGGCAGACACATCTACTAATGGTCCATGTGTGGCAGACACATCTACTAATGGTCCAAGTGTAGCAGACACATCTACTAATGGTCCAAGTGTAGCAGACACATCTACTAATGGTCCAAGTGTAGCAGACACATCTACTAATGGTCCATGTGTGGCAGACACATCTACTAATGATCCATGTGTAGCAGACACATCTGCTAATGGTCCATGTGTGGCAGACACATCTACTAATGGTCCATGTGTGGCAGACACATCTACTAATGGTCCAAGTGTAGCAGACACATCTACTAATGGTCCAAGTGTAGCAGACACATCTACTAATGGTCCAAGTGTAGCAGACACATCTACTAATGGTCCAAGTGTAGCAGACACATCTACTAATGGTCCATGTGTGGCAGACACATCTACTAATGATCCATGTGTAGCAGACACATCTACTAATGGTCCATGTGTGGCAGACACATCTACTAATGGTCCATGTGTGGCAGACACATCTACTAATGGTCCATGTGTGGCAGACACATCTACTAATGGTCCATGTGTGGCAGACACATCTACTAATGGTCCATGTGTGGCAGACACATCTACTAATGGTCCATGTGTGGCAGACACATCTACTAATGGTCCATGTGTGGCAGACACATCTACTAATGGTTCATGTGTGGCAGACACATCTACTAATGGTCCATGTGTGGCAGACACATCTACTAATGGTCCATGTGTGGCAGACACATCTACTAATGGTCCATGTGTAGCAGACACATTTACTAATGGCCCATGTGTGGCAGACACATCTACTAATGGTCCATGTGTGGCAGACACATCTACTAATGGTCCATGTGTGGCAGACACATTTACTAATGGTCCATGTGTGTGCACATCTACTTCTAAGTAGTACCTCAATATACTCAGAAATATTATAAATAATAACATTAATTTATATATGAGAACAACCTAATTTAATACACAATACGTTAATATTGACGAGAACGTCTATGGAAGGGGGGGGCGTCGTTTTAACGAGCTTAGCCTGAGGAAAGGTTAAGTAATGCCATCATTTGTAGTGAGATATTACACCAAACATTAGGTTTGGTGGGTGGATTAAGGAGCCTTTGTTGATGAAGACGGGCTGTCTTTAAAAGCTGCTAGCTAAGCAAGGAAGCAAACATAGTGAATAGTTAGGTCATGTTAAGGGTCCGGGAAACGAAAAAATATTCGAATTATATGGATATTACTTAAAAATTTTATTCAACTCTCCAATTATTTGGCATCAGCGTTATGAAAATTTCATCCCTATAAGTTAAGAAATGGATTTTATGCGAATATTAAAAAAAAAAACTGGTGATGATAAGGAGAACAGCTCCTATTAACTGGAACTGAGGGATAATGCAGTGATAAGGAGATGCAAGCACCTGTCAGACACACAAAGAAAAAGAATAGTAGTAAGGAGGGGTCCACAAAGTGGATATGTTGCTGGTACCTTTATGGCATTACTTAGTAATATATAATAACACAGATAATAATGAGTAAGTATGATATTATGCTGTATTTTGTTATATATTATATAAATATATTGCACAATACCAATGTATGTTACTGCACCAATGTCCAACTTTTTTTTTTGGGGGGGGGGAGAATTTTTTTTCTCTCTCTTTCCTTTGTTAATAATCTGATTTTCTTGTAGCTACTACATCTTGGAGAATGCATACCCGCCACTACGTTTGTGAAGTGTGAATGAAATTGGTCAACATATAAACCAGCCACAGGTGGCAGACGTTGTGACTTATTTTCTAGTTTTTTTTTGGGGGGGCCGAAAAAAATTAGATTTCAAACTATTTTCTTTGTCTCTTTAGGTTGTATTGGTGAATGAGACCAGATGCGGGCCTTATCACTTACATAAAGTATACTTATTATCTTTATTAACCCATTATCCTTATCCCAATATTTTTTTTAAATTAAATTAGATTTTTTATTCAGGAAAAAGTACATACATAGATGATGAGTTACAAACATAATGAAGCATTTATAGAAAGAGCTTGTTCATACAATACCTAAAGCCACTAATATGCATATCATTTCTGGCAAAAGTATTTGTTTTTTGGGGGGTGTATTTTTTCTTTACTTCATTTCAACTTAGATTGACCTACAACTTTCACATATTCGAGTACGAATGCCAAGCAATGTTTATTATAACTTACAGGAACATTTATTTTTTAGAACTACGATATTCATTGTCGATAACTTCTACTTCAATTATCTGTAAAACTGGAATTTCAACTTTGACACGTGCTCAAAAATCTAATTTCTGACCGATTCTCACAATATTTACATATTATGTGCACAGTTGTCCGTTCTACAATATTTCATTTTTTGTTTCTTTGATATATGACAAACGTTCGGAGTTATATATATTTGTCTTAATTTTTAGCGCTTATTTCAATGCCACATTGACGAATTTTTGTACAGTAAACTATAATGCCAAACTTAGTTTATAAAAAAAAGGATTTTTGATTCTGAGAATATAATAACACCAAGTAAGTAAGTAATTATCAAAAGAAGGCACCAAACCGGGAAGGCTATGTAGCACCATCAAATACGCAAAATAATCAGAGGGCGCTAAATATCACCAAGGATGCCAATACGAGAACAAAAACGCATAAGGCGAACGATATCAAAAGTATCCGAGTCACCAAGAATTCTATCGAGGGACAGGTGACCGCGAGGGGCGGTCGGAAAGCAAGACACACGCTCGTCCTGGAAGTCAGGACATTCAAGAAGGACATGCACGACCGTAAGAGGGACAATGCAACTAGGACAATAAGGAGCAGGGCGGTGCTCCATCAAGTGACCATGGGTTAAGCGAGTATGGCCAATACGCAACCTCGCCAGAGCTGTTTCCCACCGCCGGTTACGGTGGAAGGAGGACTGCCACGAGGAAACACAACATTTAAGAGTACGTAGCTTGTTACCAGTAACAGACAACCAAGAAGCCTGCCAACGGGTAAGGACTGAGGAATGGATAACCGGGTAAAAGTCAGAATACGGAATGCCCTTTCGAGAGATGGGACAAGAGCGGACAGCTTCCTTGGCGGCAGCATCCGCACGCTCATTTAAAGACACACCAATATGGCTGGGAACCCAACAAAACTCAACCGACTTAAATTTACTGTGAACGAGAAACAGCCAATGCTGGATCTCGACAACCACTTGATGAACCGGATTAAAGGACCCGGGAGCCATGAGGGCACTACGAGAGTCAACAACAACTACAAAGGAAGACTGACAACGAGAAAGCAGGAGACGAAGAGCATAGAGAATAGCATAAAGTTCCGCTGTAAAGATGCTAGTCTCCGGAGGCAAGCGACACATATAAGTGCGATCAGGAAAAACAACAGAGTAGCCAACACCGTCCGCTGACTTAGACCCATCGGTGAAGACAGAAACGGAGCGGGAGTGAGAAGAAAAGTGCTCGAGGAAAAGGCGTTTTAGAACCGTAGGAGGGGTAAAAGCTTTAGTGATATGGGTCAAGGATGTACAAAACCGCGGAAGAGGGACCCTCCACGGGGGCAAAGAAGGAACAACACGAGGAGAAACATCAGAAATACGAACGGAAAGAGAATCCTGCAGGCGAGATAACCGGACAGAAAGAGGGAGGTGGTGAAGAGGAACAGGAACCGCAGGAGGGGTAAAAGTTAAAGCACGACAGAGGCGAGAGGAAGGGTGTTGCAAGGACCGCGCAAGATAGCGAAGACAGTAGCGATCACGGCGGTCCTGGAGAGACAGGAAGCCAGTGTCAACATACAAGCTAAGGACGGGAGTCGAACGAAAGACACAAGAACTGAGGCGCAACCCAGTATGGTGCAAAGCATCAAGACGGCGAAGAGTAGAAGGAGAAGCAGACGAGTAAGCAGGGCAACCATAATCGAGCTTAGACAGGACGAGAGAGGAATGTAAAGCAAGGAGAGTGCGCCTATCTGCCCCCCAAAAAGTATGGGATAAGACCCGAAGGAGGGTAAGGGCCTTAGAGCACTCAACACAGAGGTAAGAGATATGGGGACACCAAGACAAACGAGTGTCAAGGAATAACCCCAAAAGCTTCGCGGAATCTTTGTATTCAAGGGGATGACCATAAAGTGACAAAGAGGGACGAAGAACGACCCGTTTCCGCGTAAAAGTCATGGCACAAGTCTTAGAAGTAGAGAACTTGAAGCCATGATCAGTGGCCCAAGACGACACGGCATCAATTGCAAGTTGAAGCCGGCGTTGAAGGAGAGGCGAATCATCACCCTGACAACAAAGGGTAAGATCATCGACATAGAGAGCGGAGAAGACACCAGAAGGAAGAGAGGAAAGAAGACCATTGAGGGCAACCAGAAAAAGAGTAGTGCTCAGAACACTACCCTGGGGCACACCTTCGTATTGCTGAAAAGAGGGAGAGAGCGGTACCAAGGCGCACCCGAAAGGAACGACGAGAGAGGAAGCCGCGGAGAAAGAGAGGGAGATGACCACGAAGGCCAAAAGAAGGAAGTTGAGATAGAATATGATAACGCCAAGTGGTGTCGTAAGCCTTTTCCAGGTCAAAAAGGACGGCAACAACGGAGGTCTTCGCAGCAAAATCAGTACGAATATAGACCTCCAAGTTCACCAGGACATCTGTCGTGCTGCGGCACTTGCGGAAAGCAAATTGAGAAGGGGAGAGGAGGTGATGGTATTCCAGGAACCACATCAGACGAACGTTAACCATACGTTCAAAGAGTTTGCAGACACAACTTGTGAGAGCAATAGGGCGAAAGTCCTTAGGGAAAGTACCCAGAGACCCCGGTTTGCGAACAGGGAGGACAACGGCATCGAGCCAGTCCTCAGGGACTGACGACGACTCCCAGATCCGATTATACAGACTCAGTAAATACTGAGACGTGCTCGGAGGGAGATGGCGAAGCATCTCATAATGAATACCATCGGAGCCCGCCGCCGTAGAACCGCAGAGGGCCAGGGCAGAACGAAGGTCAGAGAGAGAAGGGATCATTATAGGGAAGCTGAAGATGAGTGCAGAAATCTAAAGGACGAGACTCAAGGACAGGTTTACGAAGAAGTAAAGATTGGGGAAGATGAAGACCAGAGCTAACAGATGAAAAGGGGGAACCCAGTTCGGAAGCGACCTGCAACGGGTCCGCCACAAGAGTATCATGGAGGTGAAGGACCGGTGAAACATCGGGAACGAACTTACCCGCTATCTTGCGGATACGCTTCCAGATCTGGGCCAGAGGGGTTTCGGACGTAATTGTTGAGACATAAGATGCCCAACATTCACGTTTAGCCGTACGGATGGCCCTACGGGCCACCGCACTCGCTTTCCGAAAGAAAAGAAAAGAATCGGTCGTCTGCCTACGGCGGTGCCTCTTCCAGGCTGCACGCTTACAGCGGACAGCCCGAGCACAGTCCGCATTCCACCAGGGAACGCACTTCCGTGGACCCCGAGAGGAAGAGCGAGGAATAGAGCGGAGGGCAGCGTTGAAGACAGTGTCATGAAAAAGGAGGAGAGCGCGAGAGAGAGGCATAAGGGAGAGGTCAGAGAGAGCAGCACTGAGGGTAAATAGGGTCCAGTCTGCCTTAGCAAACTGCCACCTAGGGAAAGAGAGGGAAGGGCGAAAAGAGAAAAAGGAAACAAGGATGGGGAAATGATCACTTCCATGGAGGTCATCAAGAACCTGCCACGTGAAATCTAAGTAAAGAGAAGAAGAGCAGAGAGAAAGATCAAGACAAGAAAGGGTGCGAATCCGAGAGTCCAAATGAGTGGGCTCACCAGAATTCAGAAGAGACAGGGAAGAAGAGAGGAGAAACGGCTCAAGGAGGCGACCCCGGGTATTAGTCAGAACGTCACCCCAAAGAGAATGA